AAAATTATAAAGCATTATTTTTTTTTTTCGTTTAGTAACTGTGAATGATAAACTATCTAAGTATTCCGTAGAATTTATAATACCATTATAATATCATTTCCCAAAATTGTCAATACGATGTTGAATTGGAATTTTTGTAGTTTTTTTGGTCTTGCTCCTAGGCCTATATTAAATTGAATACACATATGTTGATCATTCAAATTTGTATAAATTCTTGCTCAATATCTATCAAGTATACATTTTCAATATTTGATATCTGTTATTATTTTATTCAATTTCAAAACATATTCATTTGCTATGAGCAAAGGTTTTCATTTTTGTGAATGTATAAACGAAATAGCTGGCGATTTCGGTTCAGTTAAATCGGATGAAGATGAAGCTGCTGCAGCCATGACAATAGAATTTTAATTATATAATAGTTCTTCGTCGAACTCTTTGAAGAAATTTATATCAGATATTACTCATCACCATTACTACTAGTTAAAAATCTAGACTAGTGCAATTATAAGAAAAGCAACAATGAACTATAAGTGCTTAGAGCCACCATTTACTGGAGACATTACTTTTTTCAACATTTTTCCTCTCCCATATTCTTTCTTTCGATATTTTTCCTTTCGACATTTTTCCAGCACACCGAACAAAAAGTTTTTAGATAAGATTCATGTTTACTTTTGTCTCACTAGAAAATATTTTCTACCAGTTAAAAGCTACAAGGTAGAAGCAAAATTTTGTGCTCTTTTCGAATATGAACCTAGAAATGTTGTCTCAATTTTTTTATTTGAGAGCAATGAAATAATCTTAGCAAAGCGCAAAAACTCAGTTTCGACAGAAAATTTTTCTGGCATATTTGTATTTTTACTATTGTAATTCAAAACTACTTGTTAGAATTTGTTATTGATATATCAACTAGCAAATTAGAAGCTACTTTCATAAATTCTCTTTATGAAATCTTTCGAAAGGGTACCTGAATTTTCTTTTTTCATGAATATTTATGTTTGAGAAAAACAGAAAAGACTTTTTGCCCAAAACCACTTAACATGGAAGGGATTTCTTGAAAAAAATATGCTTGGAACCTCATTTGGATAAAAGCTATAGCTTTGTTCAATATTACATTTTGTAGAGAAGTATTCGTTCTACAAATTAACTGACTCCGAAAATTCTTAGAATGTTTGCAAAAAGTCTTATAGGATAAACAAATATCTGTTGATTCACCATTAACGATAATTTTTCAAGCCTTTCAAAAAATCCTTCATTATAGTTGAAAAAAAAAATGTGCACAACATTTCCAAGGCCATATTAGAAAAGAACATCAAATTTTGATCCTAACTCATAGCTTTTGAATCGTTGAAAATGCTTTTTGACGGGTCAAAAGCTAGCAAAGATTGCGTCTAAGAATTTTTTGATCACTGATTAACCTTTGAGAAGAAACATTATTAGATATAAAATCTAATTGCAACTGATATTTAATGTATTTTCTTTTCTTCGAAAACATATAAGCCTCACATAATAACATATGTTAAAACGTTTCATTGCAAAGACTAATACATTTTTGTATCAGAAAAAAAATGTAACTTTCAAGAATTTCACCAAAAGCCTGAAATGTTCGTAGGAAGGGAAGGGGATTGAGCTCCCCCCCCCCCCATCCTAGCCCTTCCTTAGCTCTACCACTCGATAGAGTGAAAATTCTTGACTATCGTAACCATACGATAATTAGAATAACTGTGAAAGTAAAGGGAAATTCTTATTTTTTCAGAAGCCAAAAGTGAATTCTTTTTTGAAACAGAGGTCAGAACTGATAGTTCTAAGCAGTATTTCTAAATTTTATCTTCCTGTAAAATTCAAATAGAGCATAAATATTATCCACTTTTCGATACAAGAACTTGTCGAATAAACGTGTGGATAGATTTAAAATCACTGAAAAAGAAAACTTGTTAATATTTTATAACATGAAATTTCAATATCTTTGACTATAAAGTGGAAAATTTTAATCGAATTAGATTTCTTTTAATTTTAGTTGCCGCAATAAAAAAGTAAAAGATAAATGAAAAATTTAATACATACAATTGAGCAGAGATGGTTAAGTCATTTTTTCAAGTCATTTCGAAAAATCCTTATACCTTTTCTCATGTGAAGAACGTGTCTCTAATTTCAATGTAGCTAAGTTCAGAAACGTTCAGGCTACAAAATGATAGATTATGGTTAAAGTTTTTCTCCATGAGAAGAGTTGTAATATTTCTAAAACACCATGACTTGACTTGACCTGATTAAGCCAAGTCATATTCATCAAGTCAAGGCGTTTTAAAGATATTACAGCACTTTTGATGAAGAACAACTTTAACCATAATATATCATTTTGTAGCCTAAACATTTCTGAATTTAGCCACATAAAAATTAGAGGCATACTCTTTCGATAAGAAAAGACTACACGGATTTTTCGAAATGACTTGAAAAAATGACTTGCCCATCTCTACAATTGAGTTAAGAATTTCTTGCACAAAGTCAAAGTCATTGAAATTAATTAGATACTTCAGTATAAACAACAAAATTTTATTATAATGACATTGTAATATTCTAAAAATATTCTCACATTCCTGACAATGTTTCATAACTAAAATTGGATATTTGTATAATTTGCTTGAATACTACTGCCGAACGATGAACAGTATTGCAAGTAAAAATGATAAGATGCTTTCGAATCAAATAAAAGTTCTCACTACTAAACTAATCAATACAGAATATAGACTGCACTTATATGTATTGACAAAGACTGATATATTCAATTTTTAATCAGTGTTTAAGTATATGTTCGGATTCCTAAATTCAAAGCATTATTACATTTCTTTTCTTATTTTATTCGGATAGAGTTCGTCAAATAGCATAACACAAAATAGGTATCAAGTTTAAAAAACCAATTGTGCCAAAAAAAGTTCAAGATGCATTTATTTCAAATAGAAGAGAAAATAGATCGAAAATTATGATTTTCGTTGAATAATATTTTTTAAATTTCAAACATTTTTTTTTTATTATATTACTCGATCATGTATCAAAGCAAAATGACAAAAGAAAAAATTATGCTGATATTTTGAGTTATGGATATAAAACATGCATTAAATATATCTTAAAAATGATTATCTCATTTTCGGTCCGTACATGTCAAGGACAGCTATATATTTCAAATTGTTAGTTTACCAGTGAGTTTCAATTTGAGATAAATAAATCTAATCTTTTTCATTATACTACAATGCCTTCCATCTTAAGATATATGTACAATGTAAGTAACACAATAGAAAATAGACAAAAAATATTAGTATCTTCTCTAGGTAAATACACCGCTCTATTATGTTTGTTCCAAAATGCTATGTAAGTTATCGAAAATTTCTGAAAAAATACCACCGAATAAGATCGTACATCTTCCATCTCTTAGATTACAATTTCAATAGGTTAGAAAGAAAAAATATGAAATTCTGAACATATTTTTGTTTTGTTTTGTTTTTTTTCTTCAGTGCAACAAGAACTTTTGAGGACTAAATCCTCTGAGAGTGCCTATCATTTGTAAATGTCTTAAATAAAAATATTGAAAAGTAACTTTTTCGTTTATATCCCTATTATGAAAATTGGAATGTGGATGCGGACAATTAGTCTTTACATCACCCACACCCTAATTTTCATCATAGGTATAGACAAGAAAAAAACAAATATAGTTTTCAAAGTTTTTCTTTAAGACAATTAAAAATCATTAGAAATGATACGCATTCTAAGAGTATTTAGTCCTCAAAAATTCTTCTTACACTGAACAAAAAAATATACAAAAATGTGCAAAATTTCATACTCTATCTTTCTAATTTATTAAAATTGTAACTTAAGAGGCGGCAGATTTACGATTGTATCCGGTGGTATTGGTATTCTTAAGTTTTTAATGAGTTTACATTTAAAAGGCTTTGAAATGTATGAGAAATGTCCAAATTTTTGCATTTTAATGTGATTATTTGATAAATATTTTTAAAAGTTTGTGTTTTCACTCATTCTAACGATGTTAATATCGAAATTATATCAACTGTTAAAACGCCGAAATTTTAGACACTTGTTGAAAAGTAAAATGTATTGAAGAAAAAAAAAATTAATCGTTGTAATATGTTAATTCTTCATTTATAACTGCTTGAGTATTTTACAAACATTTCAGCATAGATAAATCTTATAACCTTGCTGTTTTTAACATGTTGGAATGGGATTCGTGATTGTTATTCTTGTGGAGAATTTTATAGTACATCTTCTCAGAAAAAGGCAAAAAAAAAATATAATAAAATCTATCTATGTTGAGATATTTGCACAATATTAGATATTAGAAACATAATGATTCACCGGCCAAGTACCGAGTAATTTTTTACAAGTACAAGTATCAAATACACCTGACGCATACTTGGTTTTTATACTTTTACTTTGAAAAGTACGAAAAATATACGTAGAAATTTTTTCGTTCCAACTCTGAGTCTTAGTCTCAGTGAGCTTTAATTTGAGTTTATTAACCAGTAGATAATATAGTTAAAAGAAATATTTTTCCTATGTTACATCAAAGAGAGAGAGAAACATAGTGGAATGACTACAAATCCTTATTCCAATAGCAAGAAGTCTAGATGGCATAATATGTATTGACATTTTTGTCCATACATACATTCTTAATTTGTAGTTATCTAAGTAATGATTGGTTTGATTGTGTGGTTACATTACATTATCTCATTCTCATTGTTTATTTGTTCTTATTGTTTAAAAAAAAAATATATATATATATATGTGTATTGATGAAGTTGAGTTTCATTCTTAAGCTTCGACTATCCATATCATTCACATTCATATATTTATTTCTATTTTTAAATTATAATAATACGATTATTCTTCCATTTGATGCAATTAACACAGAAACGAATAATGTCGACAACAGTAAGTGAAAATGTTCAGTTGAAGGGTCAATATGTTGACAATATCTGTTTCTTTGTTTTCAGACTATGAAATGTAAACTATCAATTGAATTATTAGTAAAACACGATTTTCTTCGCAATAATGATAAATGTACATTTTGTTCAGAGTTTATTGCAACGCATTTTTATCAAAAAGGTAATTTTGGTTTTCAATGAATATTATTAAAAATTATATTTATTTCAGAAGTTGAAAAAGAAATTAGCAAATCAAACATGCATGTCCAATATGATAATATCAAAATAAAAGATAATGTAAATTATGAATATGAACGATTGGCTAACGAGAAAAAAGGTATAACTTGAATCTTCACTTAGTTATCAATGTTCATTCTGTTCACTCGCTATTCTTATTTCTTTAGATAAATCACTTTCACAACCGGACTTTATGTATTGCTCGAATGTTTCTCCACCTTCTCTCTCGTCTAATTCCAATGCTTCTGAAAGTGTGAAGTCATCTGCATCAGCTGAAGCATTAACTCGTGTTCATTCATCAACAGTATGTCCAGATTTCGAGACAGATAAAAACAATGGATCTATGACAAGAACACTTGAAGATCAAGCAATGCGAGCAGCGTCAGAAGAACAAAGTTTTCTTTGCAAAGAATTCTTGAAGAAACATTATTGTTCTCATACTGGTAATATATTGTTTAGTTTATCTTTTTATTTCTTATGATAATAGTTTATTTATTTGTTTTGAGCAGGATCAAACAACTTTGAAGAACTATATGTTCGTATATTATCTGTAATCAAAGAAGATAACAATCGTGTTTATTATTTAATGAAACATGCTCGACATTCATGTTTTGGTTTAGTTAAAGTAACAAAAAATGATGATCAATTGTTGGCTTTATTCAAATTTTTAGATGATTTTCTACAATGATTATTTGAAAAAGATATCTGGAACTTATATCTCATTTGAATAATTAGGACATTTCTTTACAATCGTGTGCTCAATATTTGAATCTGTAATGAAATATTAATAGAGTAATGGTCATCAGTCTAGAATTTCATGTCGCTTCATTTTTTTTTCTATTTGTTCATGTTATTGTATTTTTCTTGAGAATTTTTTTTTGTCAGATATATATTTATACATGATTTATTATTAAATAAAAGTCATCATGTGCACATGATTTCTGTATACTTTTATTATGTTATTTCACTAAAATCTTGGTAGAGAAGTAAAAAAATTGAATGTTGACTATGGATTGTATGTATATATCTTATCTTAGCTGAATTTAGTTATATTAATCTAAATATTAAGAGAATGATTCGTAGAAATATAATTTATTGCTCTAATTATTCTCAATGATTTTTGTCACAAGCTATTGACGAACAAAAATCAATTTATTAGCAATATGATGATCTATTATAAAAGAATACAGATATTGATTGATACTTATTTAACATTATTAGAATCTGTGAGAATTTTTCATTAGAAATTTTATAGACAATCGATATTTCCTTCAACATACGATATGATTATATTTCATATATGATTCGTTTTTGTTTTAGTATGATAACATTGAGATGGTGAACAATTATTATTATCAAGATAAAATAAATTTTAAAGATTTTTCTTTATAAAACAACTTTTTCTATCTAATACATACTCACATAGTATCAAGTGCTGATGACTATAAAGAATATAATCATACATGTCTTTGAAACAAAAGATAATCTAACAATTGAATCAATATTTCATACAAATGAACAAAATTACATTGAAAAGATTTATTGGAATAAAAGGATCACTCACAAATATGTGTATATTCATTATAGTCATATACGAAATACAGATTCTCCAAAAACAGATAGAACTTTCATTTAGTTGATTGAATATTTAAAGAAAACAATTTGAAATATTATTCAAGATAACTTTTAAGTTAAATTGAACTTGACATGATTAATTGTTGTAATTGTCTTTGAAGATTTTCTTTCTTTTTATCGACTTCTCCCTAGTAGAATTATTAGAAAATAATATAAAAATTAGTTTCGATAAACATTTATTGAAAACGTAAAACTTTGAAGATCGACTGAACTCGGATAATTAAACTATTTTACGGAATTTTTGTATTCACGAAGTTCTATCGAATTACATAGTTCTAGTTCGAGCTCGAACGGTTCGAACAAAAAAAAAAAAGAAAAACTGTGAAGTAAAAAGCGACTTTTTAAAATATGTTCGAACCATTAAATCATCAAATCTATATAGAAAAGATCTTCAATCTATGTCGATAAAAGTTCATTATTGCATTGTTGAAATTAAAGATTTCATTTTATATGTATTATGTTATTTTATTTGAATACTGGAATATGATGTATGTTTTAATCTCAACAATTCAATAAGAAAAATTTGCCAAAATAGATTTAAAAATTTCGTATGTATATCTGATGATTTAACTGTTGTGGGTCACATTTGAAACCGTTGAACTCTAAAATAGATATAATGTCGTAAACATAAAACTAACTGGAATTGATCATATTTGAAATTTGGCAAGTCTTTACTATTGCTGTTCTGAGTAATAATACATTTATCTTGGAAAAATTATGAGATGAGGTTGACTGCTACTACTTCGATTAGATTATGACAGATCTCGCATCAATATTACTTTTCTGATTTGTTTATAATTTATCCTCTTAGTACTAAAGTTAAATGAATTAGAATGAGCTCTTTAGTGATGATAAGTTTATTTTTTCAAAATCGAGATAAAAAATATTCGCAGAATATCTTAAAGAAAAACA